ATTCACCGCTAAGATAATTAAGTTTACTCATATAGCCAATATAACCATCGCTAAGGGTTTTTCTTCGTAAGTGACTGACCTTCTTGCTGTGATCCTCATAAGAAAATCTGTACTTTTTATCTGAACTTGGTTTAATGGAAATTTGATAAATTTTGTCATTAATTGGTGCCATGTTAGATGTGCAAAATCCATTTAGTTCTAAATACATGAGAAGGCAATTCCTCCCTTAAAATTATAAGACTGTAGTGGTGTAGGGATGTCTTTAGCCATTGATGAACTTGTCATGACTGAAAGAGTCTGACAATTAAGGGAAAATGTGAGAGATTCCATAATACGCCTTGTCTGTGAAATTTGAAATTGAATACATTGTTGAGTAATTTGATACCTGATTTTCAGCTGCTGAGCACTGTGTGGTTCTGTTATTATCAAAATATTGGACGTAGGTTTTTCAGTTCAATCAACATGAACCCCATTACGAGTTCTTCTCAATGACTAACCCAACTGATGAGATCCTTGTAAGAAAAGCTTCACATTTGACTGAAATTGGATTAATATGTTGAGAAGTTTTATTATTCATTAGCATTGTCTTTATAGTGTGCTAGTCTTCTTGGCTAGATACAAAGGTAGACATATTTATTATTTTCACTTTGCCGTAATTTTGATATTTGGGGTTGTTGATTCATAACATAAAGCCAGTAAGGATTGGAGCTAGCAGTTTGAAATGCAGGTATAAACATTGCCTTTAACTTGTGAAATTGAATACAATTAGGAGTTGCTTGCCTGGTGTCTTAGATTCATATCCTGAATTTTATGTGTCTCCAGTAGGTTTATTATAATTGGTGTATACACAATGCTCAGTGCCAGTTGTTACCGAGGTGGCTTCCTGAATATGTAGATAAGAGATGATCAATGGGAAGCTCCTGTTTTTGCATGGAACCACCTGACAGGTTTTCCTAAATAAAAAAGCTGTATGGGCCGGGTGCAGTGGCTCATGCCTGTAATCCCAGCACTTTGGGAGGCCGAGGTGTGTGGATCACCTGCGGTGGGCAGGTCACCTGAGGTCAGGAGTTCAAGACCAGCCTGGCCAACATGGTGAAACCTCATCTGCACTAAGCATACAAAAGTAGCAGGACGTAGAGGCACATGCCTGTGATACCAGTTGCTTGGGAGGCTGCGGCAAGAGAATCACTTGAACCTGGGAAGCAGAGGTTGCAGTCAGCCAAGATTGCACCATTGTACTCTAGTCTGGGCAACAAGAGCAAAACTCTATCACCAAAAAAATCAAAAAGCAAACAAAGCTGTATGCTTTGCCCTTATAGTGTTTGGTGAATCGATGGTTTACAGCTTGTCCTGGGTCATTTTTTCAGAACTGACCGCTTGTGTTAATTAAGGAATAGCATACATGAGCTATAGGACATGAGAGGTTTACTTCTCATTCTCAAATGTCCTGTCTCTGTCCCTTTGGATAAAGAGTACTGAAGAAATACACTCTTAGCCTGCTGCCACTGGGGAAACTTGACTGTACACATTTTCTATCCAGGTGTCCTGCCTCAAGTCCACCTGAACTTCAGTTTACCCTAGTACCAGGGTTTAATGTTGGCATCTTTCCATTCCAAGAGCATGTATGTGCTCATAGGATTTCATATGACTTTGACAAAAATTATGAATTAAAAATCATGCTTATTAGGAGCTATGGACCCCAGGATAGGTGACAAGTAAGGGTTAGGATTTTGCCTCCCTTAGTTTTATTCTGGGAGAATTGTATTTAGGGCTTGAGATAATGAGACTCAGAAGAAACTTATTTGTGTCATCTTTGACTATGCTCATCTAAATAAAAACACAATTTTAGAATGTGTTAGCCTGATTAAGTGTTTAACGACTAATTCTCCTGTTACTTAGAAGCTTATGTCTGTTTGTTTTCAATTTGTGTTTCTGGAGCTCCAAGTAGCATGAGATACATAATTTAATAGATATAATAGATGATAGTGTCTGCTTTTGGTGACCGGTAAATTCAAGAGTGCTATCAGAACAGTGAATGTGGCCTTTAAGATAACTGGTTTCATTCATTCTGTCATATGAATATTATTATGTGTTCTTCTCAATAAGTTACTGAACTTCCTGATGGGATCATCATAATAATATCTTCACTCTATAAGAATTTGCTTTGATTTACTATTTTGAGATTCATCTTGATGATACAGTATTCAGGTCAAAATACAGTAGCGAACAAATTCACAACTACTATGTTATTTTAAAGTTGCTATGGTGTTGTGATGTTTACATATCATTAAAGACCTACTCACAGCCAAATGACCTAATCAGTTGTGCCTGGGCATTGAGATTCTAGTCTATGCTTTGCCTATGATACGTGAAATTAAATAATAGTACAGCCTTATATCTGATTCCCAATCATAAATTCGCATTTTCATTATGCTCTGTACAAGGTAATAGGTATGCTATGGATGAAGCCAGTGCTTTCTGAGGTGGCTTTTTGTATGTATAACCAAGGGATTACCAAATGGGAGCTTTCATTTCTGTGTGAAATCACTAGGCAGATTCTTTAAGGAGGTGAAATCTGTATACTTTGTTCTTATTTTGTTTGTTGAATCAATCATCTATAGCCTAATTAATACATCTTATGATTCATCACCCTCTTCTAGAAATGAAAAAATGTCACACATAAGAAGTACATATGAGAGGTATATTTCTTGTCTTTGACTACTGTCTTACTCTCATTTTTTAGGTAAAAATTACTGAGAAAGAGGGCTTTTTGGCTTGATGCCCCTAGCACAACTTTTCCTACCTCAGAATTGTGCACTGAGTGTGCCCAACTACAGTCTACTTTTTATACCAGAGTAGAAGATTTTCATTTTTGGTAAGGGTTTTCAGAAATAAATAGATGTATGTTTGCAGAGTGCCATGTCTTGGGTGAATGATCAAACGTAATCTTGTCTGAGCAGATGTGATGGCCTGTGGATCACATTTGATAGACTTAATCTGAGAGCTGGCTTAAGGTGACAATAGGAGGATGGGGTATGGACCTACTGAGTCCCATTCCAGGGGGATTTTATTTTGGCTTGAGTAAATGAAACTGTCCTAGGATTTCTTTCTGTACGATTGTTTTATTCAATTCTAAGTAGCCAACAAATTTCCATGCCTGTTAGCCGACTTTAGTGCTCACTCTTTTCATTTCTCTCTTCCTTTTTCTTTTCCGTTTTCCCCTTTCCCCTTTGTATTTTCTCCTTTCCCCTTTTTTCCCTTTTTCCCCTTTCCCTCTTCCCCTTTCTTTCCTCTTGCTCTGTTGCCCAGGCTGGAGTACAGTGCTGCAATTTTGGCTCATGGCAACCTCTGCCTCCCAGGCTCAAGTGATTGTCATACCTCAGCCCTCCAGGTAGTTGGGACTACAGTTGCACATCACCATTTTGTATTTTTAGTAGAGACGGGGTTTTGCCATATTTCCCAGGCTGGTCTTGAACTCTGAGCTAAGGCAGTACACCCTCTTAGGCCCCCCAAAGAGGGGGGATTACAGGCTGGGATTACAGGCGTGAGCCACTATGCCCAGCCAGTGCTCTGTAGTTCTTAATTCTCTGGCATTTCTGGAACTAATGCTCTGGTGTTTTTCCCCATGTGTTTCTCAATGTTTGCTTGGTAGAACATACACAATTTCATGATTTTGTGTGAGTGGTTTCTGGTGGTCAGTTTGGGTTTTTTTTGTTTTTTTTTTTTTTTGAGACGGAGCCTTGCTCTGTTGCCAGGCTGGAGTGCAGTGGTGCGATCTCTGCTCACTGTAATGTCCAACTCCCTGGTTCAAGTGATTCCCCTGCCTCAGCCTTCCGAGTAGCTGAGATTACAGGCATGTGCCACCAAACTCAGCTAACTTTTGTATTTTTAGTAGAGATGGGATTTCATCATGTTGGCCAGGATGGTGTTGATCTCCTGACCTCATGATCCACCCACCTTGGCCTCCCAAGGTACTGGGATTACAGGTGTGAGTGACTGCGCCTGGCCTCGTTGGTAAAATTTTAAATAGAGCACTGGACTAGTGAAAATAGGACACTAAAATATCTAGTTTTATTCAGTCAGGAAGGCTGAATATCATAATAGGTTTTTTCGTTACCACTGGCTGGCCTACTTCATAAGATCTTCATGAGAAAAATCTTCACTTTTTATCTGAATTTGCTTTAATTGAAACTTGGTAACTCTTGTGATTTTTTGGTATATCTTTGTATTTATTATAGTTGAAGTGCATGCATGGATAAATTCATCCCTGTTATATAATTGAGGGTGGCTGTGGTGTTGTAATGTGTTCTGATAATTGATGAACTACTCACAGCTGAAAGACACAGCCAATAGTGACCTCAAGATTGAGATTCACATAAATTTCATGTTGCCTATAATATGTGATATTGAATAAAATATATGAAGCTTGATATCTTTTAAAGTTCCTGATATTTATATTGCTTTATTTATTTGCTTATAATAGAAATTAAATGCTGTGGTCAATTACTGTTGTTGATACTGCTTTTTTGAAGATATATTCAAGAACTTGTTAAGGACCTGTTTCCTTTGTTATGTCCATGTTTGGTGTTTGCTAGGCTACAGCCTAAGTAGGAAGGTCTTTTAACAGTAAGGATAATATTCTGTGTGTATAAATTATGATAGTCAGTATGAGCCATGCACACCTGAGAGATACAGTTTTCATTTTGAACTATTGTGCTAATACTATCAAAGTTATGAAGAATAATTAAAAAGTGAACTCTGAGGCTTCTGGGGCACCTGGTCACTACACAGGAGTCCTATAATGACTGTCCCGGTTTCCTGTTAACTTTGTCACCAGGGTTTAAGGATATAGCATCTGGTAAGAGTTTATAGGACCAACTTGATGTTTGTGTGGATAGTTCCGTAACTTAGATCAATGAGACCTGTTTTTGCCATGAGGAGTTATACTGACATAAAAATTATGCTCAATTGGAATACACTGAGTCCTAGATGTCAACTCTAGGATTGTGCGTGTGCTCTTAGTTCCACCCCATAAAAATGTTTATTTATGGGCTTGATATAATGAAACTATTGTAGGAAACTTGTTTTACCCACTTTGTGTATCTATTTCCATGAGAAGCGTTTTCTGATCCTTTCAAGCCCAACTTTATATTTTATATATAAGGGGTACAGGTGCAGTTTTGTTACATGGATGTACTGTGTATGGTGAAGTCTGAGCTTTTAGTGTAACCGTCACCCAAGTAGTGTCCATTGTAGCCATTAAGTAGTTTCTTGCCCCTTACCCCTGTCCCCTCCTCCCACCCTCTGCATCTCTAGTGACGATTATTCCACATTCTATTTTCATATATACACATTATTTGGGGCGCCCACTTATAAGTGAGAACCTTTGGTATTTGACTTTCTATTTCGTAGTTGTTTCACTTAAGATAGTGGCCTACAGTTCCACCCATGTTGCTGCAAAAAGCACAATTTCATTATTTGTTATGGCTGAATAATACTTCATTGTATATACATACCACATTTTCTTTTCTTTAAAAAATGTTAACATTTATTTTAGATTCAAGGGGTACATATGCAGGTTTGTTACATGCATACCATATTTTCTTTTTCTTTTATTTTTTGAGATGGAGTCATGCTCCTTCGTCAGGCTGGAGTGCAGGGGCACGATCTCGGCTCACTGCCACCTCTGCCTCCTAGGTTCAAGCGATTTTCCTGCCTCAACCTCCCAAGTAGCTGGGACTGCAGGTGCCCGCCACTACGCCTGGCTAATTTTTTTGTATTTTAGTAGAGATGGGGTTTCGCCATGTTGACTAGGATGGTCTCGATCTCCTGACCTTGTGATCCACCCGCCTCAGCCTCCCAAAGTGCTGGGATTACAGGCGTGAGCCACTGAGTCCAGCCCCCACATTTTCTTTTTTTTTTTGAGACGGAGTTTTGCTCTTGTTACCCAGGCTGGAGTGCAATGGCACAATCTCGGCTCACCGCAACCTCCGCCTCCTGGGTTCAGGCAATTCTCCTGCCTCAGCCTCCTGAGTAGCTGGGACTCAGCCTCCTGAGTAGCTGGGATT